CTGTTACCCGCGGCTTTGCCCGCGCGGATTTTGCAAGCAAACCCCATTTATATTCAGTATTTCAACAACCATAGTAATTGTTATATAACACCTACCGCTGAGAATGAAGAGAATTGCCGAAAATCAAACGAACTATTTTCAATTTGATCAATTTTCTGGAACGTTTGCAATCGTTCTATAATCGAACCAATATGCAATAACAAATTCGAATTTAAAACGGTTCGAACATTTTTAAAATCGAAATAGATAAAAATATTTATAACAATGTCTGAAATGTTATCAATTTAATATATCTAAGTACTCAATGAAAATTAAACAGTTAAAAACGAAAAATCGCATCTAAAATAGTACAGTAGAAGCCGTTCTTCCGGTTAAGCCTTAATCCACTCTCTCTCCCCCCGAGGGAGAATTTCGAAAAATCCCTTCTTAATGAGTGTTTTCATGACGTACCTAACTGTGTACCAAATTTCACCTCTTCAGGTTTAGCGGTTTGCTCTGGGAAAAGATGAATCAGTCATTCAGTCAGTCAGGACAAGTAATTTTATATACAGTATTTAAATTAATATATGTGAAATTTTTTATAATTATTATTTATTAATCGAAATTTGAAACCAAAGCAAAATTTAAATTGAGGTACACTCACTCAGCATTTGTATGTAAATAAAAAACACAACACCTTAATTTGCTGAGAAAAATTTAATGAAAAGCAAACGTTTTCAGCCAAATCTGTTGGCCATCATCAGGAGCTCTCTCCTAAGATATTCGAATATAAACAACATAGAACAAAAATTTAAATAGTAGTGTGGTGGATAGGCAAAAAGAAATTAATAGAATATTACATATTGCCAGATCTCTGGAGTACAGAGAAGATATGATAACAACATTGATCAGAAATTACAAAATAACAAAACTAAGGCTCAAAACGGCGATTTCGGCAAAATCACAAAGTTCACTTATGATAGAAAGAGAAAAGCCATCGTGAAGGAAATCTCAGCCCGCAAAAAGTCCAAGTTAATTTTCAAGAGAGCTCCTAACCTGTACAGATTATTAAGGAACGACAAAGACAGCATAGATAAAGAAAAAAGAGCAGGAGTATACAGGATTCCATATGAAAATCGTGAACTAGACATTAATAAAAATTATATTGGTGTCACTAATAGAAGTTTAGGAGTCAGATTAAAAGAACACAAATACAATATCAGCAAGGGATCTAATACCACAATACTTGGCATTAGATCCCTTGCTGATATTATATTTGTGTTCTTTTAATCTGACTCCTAAACTTCAGCAAGGGATAATCAGCAAGGGATCTAATGCCACAATACGTGGCATTAGATCCCTTGCTGATTATCCCTTGCTGACTATCGCAGTTGGCGCAAGTTGAAAGCGCAATCGTCAAATGGTACGAAGCAAGTATTACAGTAGAGCGTCGTTTATCCGAATCAATTGGGGACTGGGGTGGTTCAGATAACTTATTTTTCGGATAACGAATCATGTACGAAAAAATAT